AGTCCAGGCTGGGTTTAGAAGGAGTCGTGGTACTAGGGATATTGTAGTTGATGTTAGATGGATCTTAGCTGAAAGCACGAAATACCAGAAGAATGTCTATCTGTGTTTCATTGATTATACAAAGGTATTTGACTGTGTGGATCATAACAAACTGTGGCTGACTCTGAGAAGATTTTTGACTGTAGTGTCCTGTAATTCTTCAAGTTTGTTTTTCATCCATTGAAAATAGTAAATATTTTTTTTTTTATTTGTGCCTCAGAAAGTTCCATCAGACTTTCTGGCTTCAAGAAATCCATTGCTACTGTGTCATTTTTTGAGGGGTATCTTGTTTTGGGGTTGCGTGGTGAGTGAGGTACCCTGCTTCTTTCGAGATATTGATTTGGAAGAGTTTTTGGAAACTGAGGTGATAGCTGGTTCTTGGTTTGATATCACTGCTCCTCTGTCGAGATGTCCAGGACCTCCTTGTTGCTTGACTTAGTGGGACCAACGTGGTCAGGCCAGACAGCAGTTTGTAGTCCAAAGAAACTTAATCTTTAATGTTAAGCAACTTTTTCAGGTGAGGTTGATAAATTCCAAAATTCAGAGCTGGAGTGGGAGGGGGTCGCAAACGCATTCACTTGGTACCTGCCAAGCGCAGGTCAAAAGTCCACAGGTGTGTCCAGCATAACATCCATTTTTGTGTAACAACATGGTCTTTAGAAGCTAACCATATTGATTAAGTAAAGAGTGAATGTGGTTACTTTTTTTTCCTCATAAACATATGCATATATATTTAGTTTTATTTACATCAACTTATTTTTTAAATTATCAGTCGTAAAATTTTTAGAAGAAAAGCAGTGTATAATTTCTGCACAGCAGAATTGCTCTATTAAATAGATATTTCATGTTAATTCATAAAGATATTTGATTCTCATTTTCTATGACAGTAATATCTCCTTGCTTATAGTGAAGATATTGAATTATATTTTTCAGATAGCATATATTCTGCATAATGCTAACGACAAATCACTCATCTTAATTGATGAACTCGGTAGAGGTACTAATACAGAAGAAGGAATTGGAATTTGTTATGCTATTTGTGAATATCTGCTGAGTTTAAAGGTATTCTATTTTTATTAAGTATGTTAATTTTATGTAATTTTTAATATAATCTCTATAGTGTGATTGGAATTTGTGAATAATGACAAATACATTTTTCAACAACTTTATGTAGTAAAGACATACAATATAGCATTTTATTTTTCTATTTCTGTTTTATAAAATCAGACATTATTAGTATGCTGACTATGATGTAAAGAAATGAAGGAATAAAAAATTATAAATAATCTAAAAACCAATCTGTTGATTTATAGTTAAATAGCAAACTATGAAGAGATTTCAGTAATAGTCTCCATGGGTGATGACAAGCTGTGATTTCATAATGTGAAATAAAGCACCAAGCATATGGTGATAGTATATTTAATGAAATAAAAATGGAATTCTTTTAAAGAACAGGATTTCCCCCAAATAAACTATACTTTATTCTAATGCAAATTTTTATTTTTGTTCCATTAAAATTTTTAGAGTATATTTCATATGATCACTAGAAATAGAAACATGAAAATCTTAAAGAAAATTAGTTTTCATATTTAACGCTTAAAATACCCCTAACATGAAATTCTTTCTCTTAAATGAGAGTACGTAAGGATTTATTATATGAATGAGATAAATCTTGTTTTATTTATGTGGTAAATTAAAAGTAGAGTTAGTAGATAGCTTTAGTTTTACAATACTTAATCTAAGTGAGTCAGTCAGAATGTCTAATAAAAATAAGATACAGGCATTACCTGTTAAAGGCAAATGCTTACTAGTCTCAATTTCTGAGGTATTCTTTAATAGTAAGAAAAATGTTATTATTTTTCTAACCTAGTATTCTGTGCCCCTAACAGTTTTTTACTCTATATTGTTATTGTTGTTAGGTGGCATAAGAGACCCTATTAACAAAACGCACTGTTGTCTAATCCTGTCCCATCCTCACAAGCACTACTTACTGAAGGTCGCTTTCTCCTTTGCTGACTCTCTGCTGTACCAAATATAATGTCTTTCTCCAGGGACTGGTTCCTCCAGATTACATGACCAAAGTATTTAAGCTGAAATCTCAACAGCTGTGATTCTAAGGAGCATTATGGATGCACTTCTTCAAGAAAGATTAAGTTTCTTCTCATGGCAGTTCATTGTATAATCAATATTTTTTCATAGCACCGCAGTTGAAAGACTAAATCCTTTTGTCTCCCTTATTCATTGTCCAACTTTCACATGCATATGAGACAACTGAAAATATGTTTTGTGTCAAGTGTACTTCATTGTTTCTATCTTTGCTCTTTAGGACTAGAAAGGGGTCCTTTGTAATATCTTTCTCCAGTACAACCTGTCATTTGATTTCTTGGTGGCACCTTCTATGAATATTAATTGACCCAAGTAAAATGAAATCTTGACAACATCAGCCTTTCTTCTGTTTATCAGTACATGTCAGCCTTTCTTCTGTTTATCATTATATTATTTATTGGCTCAGTTGTGAAGATTTTTTTTTATGTCATTCTACTCCATAACTGTAGGCTACAGGCTTTAATCTTCATCAGCCAGTGCTTCAGGACATCTTTATTTTCTGTAAGCAAGATGGTTTTACGAACATGCCCTCTATCAAATTCTCCTACTTCCGAAGTATTTTTCAAGGCAAATTTTCCCTTTTAGTGTACCAGTGTGTAATTGGCCAAAGGCAGACTTTTAGGCTTCCCATAATATACAATATATCCTGACATTATAATGCCCTGTATTCATTTTTACAATATGCTTTTATATTACTACAAAGAAGAAACAGGAGACAACAATATCTATAAAGTTAAGTCAGCAGAACTTTAGTCATTTTTTTATCTTGACATTACTATATGCAAGAAATAGAAACATCAGTATAGTATGCAAAAAGTTAAATCAACAAAATATCAACACATACATCTTTAAAGAAATTCCCAGTTTCAGTTTGATGCTCCACCCTTAACTGATCTCATTCATATGCGTATGGCCTCAGGCCTTTGCTTTTTGCTTCAGGCCAGAAGCAACTTCTCCACTTTTTTTTCCATGTTAATAACAGGAGAAGTAGCCATTTTAACAGTACATCCCACACCTTTAAATTCTTACTTTTCAGAATCCCACATTTTCATGAGTCTGGAGCCATTACAGCAAACACTGCTTCTGACACCAGCTGTAAAAAAAGAGCAAAAGTTGCATGAGGATAGCCATATCTGGCATCCATCAAATCTACAATAGGGAACTGTCATCATCAACAGCATCCACAGAACAAAACCAATTCCTATGAGGTCAGGCATGTCCCCATGGTCTTGTACCCTTTGTACTAGTTCCAACACCAATCTTACAGATTTACTGGGTCCAAAATTTGCTTCAATAAGAGCACATAGAACCATACTCACAATTGTGGGATTTAATGGGAAAGTTAATATGATACAATTTCAACTGGCAACAGGATGCAGTTTCTAAGGACAGCTTCCAAAGTGTACTCACAAGCCCTTCAGTCTTCAACCACATGGCTTCAGGCCACTGTTACAAAGCTCTTGTTGTTGTTATGTGCCATCTAGTCATCTATGACTCTTAGTGACTCTATGTACAATACCCCTAAACCCTGCTCTATCCCTTGCCAATCTTATTGTCTCCAACACACCCGTCTCCATTACCCCAGTGACTGAATCAGTCCATTTCATAGAGGTCTTCCTCTCCTGCACTGTCCCTCTACCCTCCCAGGCATGACGTTCCTCTCCAAGGACTGATCCACCTTGCAACATGTGCAAAGTATGTCAGAGGGAGCTTCAGAATCCTTTCCTCCAAGCTTCATACTCTCTAGGAGGAACTTGTTTGTTTTCCTAGCAGTCCGTGGTATATTCAGTATTCTTCTCCAACACCAAAGCTCAAAAGGTATCAACTCTCCTCCTATCATCCCTAGTCATTGTCCAGCTCTCTGATGCATAGCAAGTAATTGCAAAGACCATGGTCTGGATCAGGCGCACTTTAGTCTCCAGACTGACATCATTGCTCTTCAATACTTTGGAGAGGTCCCTGATAGCAGGCTTTCCCAATGCAATTTGTCTTTTAATTTCCTGGCTCCTGGTACCAAGAGTGTTGATTGTAGAGCCAAGCAAACTAAAGCTGTCAACAATCTCAGTCTCTTTGTCATCCATCGTGATGGGCCCAGTGCTGAGAATCTTCGTTTTCTTGATGTTGAGCTTTAATCCATATTGAAGACTGCAGTCTTTGACTTTCTGCAGCAAGCACTCCAGGTCTTCCTCAGTTTCAGCAAGCAGGGTTGTGTCATCTGCATAACACAGATTGTTGATGAGTCTACCTCCAATCTTGATGCCACATTTCTCCTCATAGAGTCCGGCCTGCACACCCTTCCCAGTTTTGTACCGTGCGGTGTTCCCTTGTTCTGTTCTAACGATGGCCTCTTGGTCCAGGTATAGGTTTCGCATAAGTATGATCAAGTGTCCTGGGATTCCCATCCTTCTCAGAGTCAGCCACAGTTTGTTGGGATCCACACAGTCAAATGCCTTTGCATAGTCAATGAAACATAGATAGATGTTTCTCTGGTACTCTCTGCTTTCAGCTAAGATCCATCTGACATTAGCTATAATATCCCTAGTGTCATAACCTCTTCTAAATCCAGCCTGCACTTCAGGCAGTTCTTTTTTGATGTGCTGTTCCAGTCGTTTTGGGTAATTTTAAGGAGAATCTTGCTTGCATGTGTTATCAGTGATAATGTTTGATAATTTCTACACTCTGTCAGATCACAAAGCTCTTAGTCCTGCCAATCTTGACATCTCCCCCAAAGTTCTGCAGCAAGCTTGGGCAAAGACTTCTTGTTCTGGTTCCTTAGGGTAGAAGTTCCAGGTCAGCTGTGCATCTAGTCCTCGGCATCTGCTGGTGCTTTTCAGTAGGTCTGATTGGTCATACTCCTCCTCCTTTGCTGGTGGTGAGATGCTCAAATTCTGAATCCACTCAATGGCAGAAGTAGCCAGTCCTGTTGTGTATCACCTTACATTCCCTATTCTCATAGACCCATCCATCCACATGGCAAATATCAAGTCAGTGGCAAGGAAAGCCATTTTTAAACAATAAACCTTAGCACCACAGTTGCCTTCCTAATAAATGATTCCCTCAGCAAATAGTTTTATTTCTTGTAAGATTACTTTTTTTAGATATCTTCAGATACATCCTTTAGGATTATATATTTACATTTGTTATTTTTCCAGCAATGTTGTGGTGGTTGTTGGTAAGTGCTGTCAAGTTGAATATGACCTATAGCGACACTATGAACAACAAATCTGAACCTTGTGCCATTTTCACGCTTCCTGACACACTGGAGCCTGTTGCAGCAGTCACTGTGTCAGTCCACCTGGTTGAGGGTCTTCTTCTCCTTCTCTTACCCTCTGCCTTTCTGAGCTTCATGTCCCTCTCCAATTGCCCATCCTAGCAACATGCTCAAATTATGTGAGGCAAAGTTTTATCATCTTCACCCCAAAGAGCACTCTGGCTGCACTTTCCCCAAGACATATTTGTTCTTTTGACAGTCATGGTATATTCAGTACTCTTCTACAACACCACAGCAAAAAGGCCTCAATTTTTCTTCTGTCATCCTGATTCATTATCCAGCTCTCAGATGCATAGCAAGTGATCACAAAGACCATGGCCTGAATCAGACATACCTTAGTTCTAAAACTGACATCATTACTCCTCAATAATTTGGAAAGGAAAAAATCTGCAGATTTTCCCAGTGCAATACATCTCCCGATTACCTGACTGCTGGTACCAAGGATTTTAATTGTGGATCCAAGAAAAATGAAGTTATTGACAGTTTTAGTCTTTTCTCCATCTGTCATGATGTTGCCTGTTGGTCCAGTTGTGAGGATTTTTGTTTTCTTGACATTGAGTCTATATTGAAAATTCTATTCTTTGATGCCCTACAATAAATGATTCAAGTTCTCCTCACTTTGAGCAAGCAAGATTGTATCATCTGTGTAAGGCGTGCATGTCAGAAAAGACTGAAAATTGTCCTATAGCCTTGAGAAACCAAAACAAAGGGGAAACATGCTGATGTGAAAGAGCTGAACAGAAGGTTTAAAAGGGCAGCTTGAGAAGACAAAACAAAGTTATAATGGAACATGCAGAGAGCTGGAATTGGAGAACAAAAAGGGGGAAAACTCGCTTTGCATTTCTCAAGCTGAGAGAACTAAAAAACAAATTTCAGCCTTGAGTCACATATATCCCAGCAATGTAGATTGTTGTTGTTGTTGTTTGATGCCGTTGAGTCATAGACGACTCATAGCGACCCTATTCACAAACGGCCTGAGCACTGTTCGTACATAGAGTTTCCGGAGGCAAGCCATTTCGGAAGTGGATGCCACTCCTGCTTCCAGGCTTGATTTAGTCGGGACGCTTCAGCCAACACTGTCCACCATGGGTACCCGTTACCACGATTGGCACATCACTGTCACAGTCTTCAGCATCACAGCAACCACGAGTTACCTCTGTACAGCAACGCACAGACCAGTGCTATACCACCTTGAAGAATGAATGTAGATTACATATATTTATAAAAACATAATTAGTATATTCTCTCTTTGAATGTGAATTTTCAGAACACTTGAAAATGAATTAACCATTTAAGCCTCCATGTTGTTAATTATATATTCCCGCATCATTGCCAGACTACTTGGAAAATTAAGCCAAAGTGTTCTGTTTAAATAATTAAAACAGATTTTTCTAGTTAATTTTTAAATGCTAGTATTTGCTGTCTACTATGATAACACCTAACAACTAACAACATTATGTATTTTAGGCATTTACACTGTTTGCTACACATTTTCTGGAATTATGCCATATAGATGCCCTTTATCCTAATGTGGAAAACATGCATTTTGAAGTTCAACATGTGAAAAATACCTCAAGAAATAAAGAAACCATAGTTTATACATACAAACTTTCTAAAGGACTCACTGAAGAAAAAAATTATGGTATATGTAAACATATGATTTATATTGTTTATAAACATGCTTTTGGACACAAACTTTCTTTTCCTTTTAATAAGCTTAAATTAAAAATATTATGAGCCAGTAATTATATAAGATTATAATGACACTTAAAAATCCTACAAAGTATTAGTTTCTATTCTTAGAAAAATGTAATTTAGTTTACATTTGTAACTTGTAGATTAAATGAAAGATGATGTATTTCTTGCACATTCTAATAGGGCACTAGTCTTTCCCCCCCTAGACTCAGTATATATGATAAATTTAAAGTATTTTTTAACTGTAATTTTTATGAAAGTTTTTAAGGAAATTGGTTTTTCTTTCATTCATTCATTCATACACTTTTCCTTTTTCTCACCTCCCCAATTCAGTTTAGAGTGCCTGTCCTGTTCCAGATTGTTAATTGTACGCTTAATGTCCATTGTTTTTGGATTAACTTTCCATTCATCTATTCTAGTATAGTGTTCATTATATACCCTTTCTTTTCCTGGGATTGTTTTTACTAAACAATATAATTGTATTAAACGTGATTACATAGTTTCTATTAAAATTACTATGTAGTTATGTAAGACTATAAGAATTCATAGGTTATCCAATTGACCTATACCTATAAAGTTCTGAAAAATGTTTTATTAATGAATGTGATCTTTGTAAGAAAAAAGAAACGTATTTCTCCTTTGCTACCTGAAGTCAGAAATCAACCGGATAATTTACTTTCATTAGAAGTTTTGTCTTTATAAGCCTCTATTTCAGTATCTTTGAAATGAGAAATAATTTTCCATTTATGTGGGATTGGGAAGAGTAAAAGAATTATCAAATTTGAAATACCTTGCACTAGTAATCTCTAAATAAATGTTAGCACTTCTGCTATAGTTTCTCAATCAGGAAATACAAGAAAATCTTGGGCTATGGCGTCCTGTTGTTGGTAAGTCAAATTGGAACTGACCCATAGTTGACCCTCAGTAGGTTTTCAGGGGTAGTAAAACACACAGGAGGAAATTGCCCAACTTTCTCCCAAGGAACAGCTGGTGATTTCAAAGACCATTTTTTGAGTTGGCAGTACAGCTCACTAAGCCACGAGAACTCCTGCTGGCATACGGTAGAAAATGTATATACCCTTTATCTAATAAGAAAGCTTTGAAGACATGAGAATAATAGTTGGTTTTATAATTTGCATAATAAGGCACCTACTACTATATATCCTTTTAGAAATCCCCTTTTCATTGATTTGCTAACTAGATGAATGTCCATTTATAGGATAATCTCTATGATTAGACATTCCCCTTCCTTGCAAAACCCATATCTTTTGACCTAGGAGCCAATTGTATTTGAAGTTAATTTTTTTAAAAAAATATTTTTGTGCTTTATTTTTTTTTAAAGTTATTGTTGCACATTTTCTTCCACCCCTTAACTCATTATGCAAACCTTGTTCTAGATTGTTGTCATAAATATAATACCTAATTTCCTTTCTGACAGTTCCTCCCCTTACCTGATCCAATGCCATGTTCATTATCTACCCACTCTTTCCCATTCTCTACCCAACCCTCCTGTCTGTCTTATTTTATAACAGTGATTTTTGTGCAGTATTTGTCCTTTGGTCCTGAGATATTTCACTCAGCATAACGTTCTTCTGGCTCCTCTATGTTCTGTAATATTTTATGAGTTCATTGTTTTTTAGTGCTGCACAATATTTCATGTGTGAATGCACTATAGTTTGTTGGGTTGCTTCCATCTCTTTGCTACTGTGAAAGATACAACAATAAAATTGGGCATGCATATATTTATTTAAGTGGTGGCTCTGATTTCTTTAGAGTATATTCTCAGTAAAATTGCTGAGTCAAATGGTATTTCTATTTCTGATGTTTTTGAGAAAGCACCATACTGCTTTCCATAGTGGCTTTATCATTTTACACTCCCAGAAGCATTAAATAAGAATTCCAATCTCTCGACAACCTCACCAGCATTTGTTGTTTGCTACCATGTTGCTGGGGTGAGATGATATCTCATAGTTGTTTTGTGAAGTTGAGGGTGTTTGTTGTTTGTTTTTTTTTTTAAGTTGAGTTTTTGATGTTATTACACCTGCCTCTTTTCTTTTCCTGTCAATTTCCTTGCTACCTCATAGGTAATATTTAATAGTCTCATTTCCCCTGAATGCCTTGGATAGGTTATTAGTGTAATAATTAGGAAGTTGTCATACCAAGCTTTGGAACATTTAATTTTGAGAATAGTTAAGTAATTCTGAAATGCCAGAAGAAAGGAAGTTTAAATGTATGGGGAAAAAAATTAACTTTAGTTAAAACAGGCATAATATCAGTAATTATATATATATATAATATCTCAGTATATATATCTATATATGTCTTTGAGGTACACATTGAAATCATATAAATGGATCTCTGGTGGCCTAGGGAATGAGCAACTGTGCTGCCAACCCAAAGGCTTTCACTTCAAATCCATCAGCTGCTCCGTGGGAGAAAGATACTCTCCACCTGTGTGATTTACTGCCTCTGAAAACCCACTAGAGGGTCAGCTATGGGTTAGATATGACTCAATGGCAAATAACAGCAACAGCATGTATCTACATTTTTTTAAATTTTAGGGTTAAAAGCTGCAGAGGCATCATCACTACCACCATCAATTGTCTTAGATGCCAAAGAAATCACAACTCAAATGACCAGTCAAATTTTGGTAAGAAGCATCTTAGCAATAAGAATTATTTTGGTCTTCAAGCAAGACTGCATACAGAAACTTGTACACTGAAGTTAATTGTAGCACTAGTCACAGTAGCTAAGAGATGAGAATAACCCAAGTGTCCATCACTAAGTAGTAGCTAGTTAAACAGAGAAACAAAAGATGGTTTAGACATTCAATGGAATGCCACTCAGCTATGCTACAACGTTGATGAATTTTAAAAACATTATTGTATCTGAAATACATCAATTATAAAAGGACAAGTATATTGTAATCTCATATTTATGAAATAGACAGCAGTTTAGAACTCAAAGCTTATTAATGCTTACCCGAGGTGGGAGCAAAGAAAGGAGTAGTTACTGTTTTTGGCACTCTGAATTTCTGTTCATTCCGTAGAATAATTTGGAAATGAATAGTGGTGATGTTTGCACAACATGTAGAAATGACTGAATTGGCAAAAGCTTTGGATGATATGTTTTTAATACAAAATAATTTAAATAAGAAACTAGTTTGGATTTCAGATAAAAAACTAATGTTATGTTTTGTCTTTATTGTGGCTTTTGATTTAAATATATAATACAAATAATATTTTTATTCCTATACTTACAAAATTCTTTTTACTTCTTAAACCTTTTGTGGTCTCACCTAAGAGTTGCAATATTTTTCAGCAAATCACTTTTAAGATAGGACACAGTGTTAAAAGTGCAGTTCCTACTATACTTAATGCCATGTTGTTAGGTGCTGTTGAGTTGTCTGTGACTAATGGCAACCCTATGTCAGTAACTCTGAACTCTGCCCTATCTTGAGTCAGTCTCATTGTCTCTGTCCACCATACCTATCCCCATTATCTCAGTTACTGTGTCAATCAATCTCACCCTATGTCTTACTCTCTTGCACTGTCCTTCTACTCTTTCAAGCATTACGTCCTTGTCTAAGAACTGTCCGCTACTGGCAACATGTCCAAAGTAAGTGTGATGGAGCTTTAAAATTCTTGCCTCCAAGGAGCAGCTTGGCTTCACCCTCTCAGGGACAGACCTGTTTGGGTTTTTTTTTGGCAGTCCTTGGTATGTTCAATACTCTTCTCTAGGACCACAACTCAAAGTCATCAATTTTTCCTCTGTCATCCTTATTGTCAAGCTTTCTGATGTGTTGCAAGTAATTGCAAAAGCCATGACCTGAATCAGGCACATATTCATTTCTAGACTGAAATCATTGCTCTTTCACACTCTGGAGAGGTCCTTGACAGCAGATTTTCCTAATGCAATTAGTTTTTTGATTTCTTGACTGCTGGTGCCAAGGATGTTGATTGTGGAACTGAGTAACTTGAAATTGTTAACATCTCAATCTTTTCTCCATCTATTGTGGTGCTGCTAATTGGCCCTGTGATGAGAATCTTTGTTTTTCACTTGTTGCACTTAAGTCCATATTGGAGATGGTAGTCCTTGACCTTCTGCAGCAAATGATTATAATCCTCCTCAGTTTTGGCAAGCAAGGTTGTGTCGTCTGCATTGCATGGTTTTTGATGAGTCTTCCTCTCAAATAATCTGTTCCACATTTAGATTAAAAAGGTATGGAGAAAGAACTTAATGACATACTAGCTTTGTAATGGAAATATATGAAAAAGAACCAGTAATAATGAAGGCAAGAAGTTCCAGTCACAATGAAGGCACTGGCAAAAAATAAGTCCACCTACACCCCAAGACTGTGGAGCCGAGCAAACTGAAGCTGTGGACAATCTCAATCTCTTTGCCATCCATCCTGATGCTACCAACTGGAGGCAAAGATTCTGGGGCTTCATCTGACATACTTTGGACATGTTGCAAGGAGAGACAGGTATTTGGAGAGGGACATCACGCTGGGTAGAGTAGAGGAACAGCACACAGGGGAAGACCCTCTATGAGATGGATTGATTCAGTGACTGGGGTAATTGGGATGGGTGTGTCAGAGGCAACGCGATTGGCACAGGATAGAGCAGGGTTTAGGGCTATTGTACATAGGGTCGCTATGAGTTGCAAATGACTCGACGGCACATAACAATAACAACAACACCCCAAGAATGGATGGAATATCAAATGATATGTTTTAACCCTAAGAATGGATGGAATACCAAGTGACATGGTTCAGCTAACAAATGCAGCCCTGGATGTGCTAGGAAACCAGTCTATGTCAGATAACTTGGAGGATGGGCACTTGTTCAACTGACTGGATGAGGCCCATGTTTGTTCCCATTCTCAAGAAGGGCAATCCAAGAGAATGTGGAAATTATAGAACAATATCAGGGATCTCTGGTGGCCAAGAGGCAAGAAACATGATTGTAATCCCAAAGGCACACAATTTGAATTCACCAGCTGCTCATTGAGAGAATGATGGGCAGTCTCTTCCCATGCGATGAATTGCTCCTGAAAACCTGCTGGAGGTTCAATTATGGATCAGTTCCTACTCAATGGTACAAAACAACAAAAAAATCATTAATATCACATGCCAGCAAAATATTGTTGAACATTATCCAAAAATGGCTAGAAGAATATATTGACAGAGAACTTCTGGAAGTGAGGCAACAGGAATACTTTTGCTGGTATTAGATGGATCTTGGCTGAAAGCAGAGAATACCAGTTGGTAAAATCAGCAAAAGTGTGTGTCAAGATTGTGTCCTTTCTACACACCTATTCATTCTGTATGCTGAGCAAATTATTGTAGAACCTAGATTCTATGAAGAAGAATATGGCATATGGATAGGAGGAAGACTCATCAACAACCTGTATTATCGCACAACCTTGCTTGCTGAAAGTGATGACTTGAAAAGCTTGCTGCAGAAGATCAAAGACTAAGATCAGAAGATCAAGAAGACAAAATTCCTTGCCGCTGGACTGATAAATAACATCATGATAGATGGAGAAAAGAAGGAAATTATCAACACTTTCATCTTAGTTGGATCTATAGTCAACACCCTTTTTACCAGCAGTCAGGAGATCAGGAATTATATTTCACTGAAAAGTCGACTGTCAGGGACCTTTCCAAATTGCTGAAGAGCAATGATATCAGTTTAAGACAAGACATGCCTGATATAGGCCATAATTTTTTGCGTCACTTGCTATATGTCTGAAAGCTAGACAGTGAATAAGGCTGACAAAAGAATGGATGGCTTTGAGTTGTGGTATTGGAGAAGAGCAATGAATATCCCGTAGACTGCCAAAAGAACCAACAGGTATTTTTCCAGTCTTGGAAAAAGTGCAGCCAGAGTGCTCCTTAGAGACAAAGAGGGTGAAGCTTCATTTCACATACGTTGGACATATTTCTAGGAGAGGATCTTTCTTGAAAAGGGGCATTTTGCCGGGGAAGGTGGAGTCAGCTAAAGAGAGGACGACTCTCTACAAGGTGGGCTGATTCAGTGACTGTAACAAAGGGCTCAAGTATATCAGAGATGATAAGGATAACACAGGATAGAGCAAAGATCAGATAGGATCACTGAGTCGACTTGAGGGCACCTAACAACCACTACCACTCCATGGGGGAAAGATGGAAAGAAGTAGTAGTCGGTTTATAGACGTTGAAACCCTATGTTATGGTTCTATATTGTCCTTTGAAAATTAACTTAAGGACTTTTTTGAGTTTTCTTCTACAGTCTTTACAGGAACTCTTTCTAAGCATTTCTACCCTTAATGAACCGTCAGTCCCCTTCAAATTCACCTCTTACTCACTTTTCCCTCCTTCCTTTTTTTTTTTTTTTTTAATTCTGCCTGGGAGATTTTTCTCTTCAATTTGTTATTACTTTTATTTACAAAGCCATTTCCTGCCCCCCCAATGGTATGGAATTATGGATTTTTGTTTTATACTTGCTTGTTGCTTTATTTTTTACTTAATGCCCAAATTATTCCTTTTTTGAAGCTACTCCAGTTAGTCTTCTGTCCATTTCACATACCTCCAGCTTTATTTCTCCTACTTTTTAAAACAGTTTTTGACATGTTCACACCCTCTTTGATGTTAACATCATATATCAAATGTCAGTGAAGGTAAGTAGTTTGACTCTCTTTTATTGTGCTATGCAATGGAAAAAGTTTGCATTATTATTTTGGGTCCTCAAATTTGTTAAAACCCAAGGTCAGAATTGATGGCAAACTTCTATTTTCTGCAAATCCTCTGCAGACATCACAGACCTAAGAGGTCGAGGCCACCCCTGACAAAATTTTAGAAACTTGAAGTCATGTAGGAGTCCTGGGTCCCTCCATCATTCTGAATTCTATTTTGGAATTTCAATTTTTCACTCATTTATTTTTTCTGTTTTCTCAGAAAACGTGTGCTTTTCCACTGTCTAAATGTACCTTTTCTGCCATTGTTCTATCTCCTTATGTATTAAGGAATTAATTTTCTTCTTCATTGCATAGCGTTTTCTTCACTGGCTTTTCTTTTTTCTACGAATATGTTTAGAGTTTTTTTTTCCACTAAGAAATCTTTCGTTTCTACCCCTTACACAAAGAACCAGTTTCTCTACATTTTACTGCCAATTTTTTCCAAGCGTAATCTATAATTACTGTGTCTGTTTTTTTAATTATAAAATGAACCTTGGTACCATTATGCCACTGAAAGTGTTTCTTTTTTTTTTTATTATTTTTTTTAAATTTTTTTTGAAAGTGTTTCTTAAGTAGTAACTAATCATAAAATCTTGTAGTATTTATATTGCTTTCCGTCTTCCCTAATCTCTCTGTGGCATTTATCACTTTCTCCCCATTTTCCTGAATTCTGTCCTATGTTAGCTCGTGTGCAGTATTCTTTCCTGGATGGGTTCATTCTCCTACCTCTTTGATGGCTCTCTGGTGGATTACTGGTAAGGAGTTGTGCTGCCAGCTCAAGGCATGTAGTTTGAATCCAGCAGCTGCTAAGCAGGAGAAATTTGAGCAATGTCTTCCCATTTGATTAACTGCCTTTGAAAACCCGCTGGAGGGTCAACTAGGAGTGGGCTTCGACTCAGTGGTACATAGCCAAACAACAGCCACCACTTTGATAAGTCCTCTCTATTCTTCACCAGTGTTTTTTCTCATTTTACTTATTAAATGGAAATATCATTGTGGATCTACTCATACTCTTTTATGTTTCATTTTATACCCTTTCATGTTCATCCTTTTACATGTCATCAGTAATTTAAAATTGTATGATGTCCTGAATCTATATATTTTTTTCTGCATATCTCCTCTGGTGATACTTAACCCATTTTTAAATTTTTCATAGGATCAAAATTAAATTTATCATCTAAAATATCTCATTTGTCTGCTTTCAAGCCTCTCAGTCAATCATCAGAGTTATCTATGAATTCTCCTCTTTAACCACTTGTCATTTGGCCATTGTCTCTCTATATTCTAATCTATCCTTACACATTGGTACTAGATAGTTTCTTAATGTATAATTCTTAACATGTTTTTCTCCTTATATCAGAAACTTTCAGTCATTTCTTACCAAACAAAAGCCCAACTCCTTAGTAATATTAAAACTCCTCTGTGACTATCACTGCAATTAGGTAGTCTGAGGATTATTTCTATTTGAATCACCTAGGATACTGGATATCATCTCAGATTTTCAAGTGTCTGATTTGACTCACAAATCTACAATTTCAAATAAGCATTTATATAATTCTGATACATAATAAAGTTTGCTAACTTTGCTGTCTCCCTTGTTTACATCACATTCCTCAACCTTGAATCACACTATTCCACTTCAAATAAACTACCTTTCAGCCACATTGACTTATTTATCATTTTATCATATGTTTGCTAAGTTTTCTAATATGTCTGCTGAAATTATTGCCTCCATTCTTTTGACTCTTCTCTGCATCGAGGTTCATTTCTGATGCTCCACTCTATTTAAACTTTTCTTCATCTGAGCTGGAAGTTTTCTTCCCTCTCTCTGACCATTTTGTATCTCTCTTGTGGGACTTTTTCCTAATTAGTTTAATTAGCTACTTAAGAGTGTTTTCTTTTCACTGTAAGTCTGTAAACTCCTCAAGGTCAGAGGACCACATTTCTCCATCACCCATGGATACATAGCCAAGTTTGGGGTCTGAAACATGGACTATATAGTGCATATTCAGTAGTTTAGTTAATTTAAAAATAAACTGATAAATAATATATCAAATAGATGAATATATGATAAGGTTACTTCACCTCATGGAATTGTACTATCATTTTCTTTTCCTAATAGTGAAAGAGGGAAAAATATAAGAATTGCTTCCTGTTCATAAATAGGTGAAAGGATTGTCTTTCTTGGAAAGTCACTAAGGCATTCCATAATATGTTAATATGGAAAACACTCTGGTTCAGCTATGTAGCTCAGGCAGAGAAAAGGGAATTTAGAACTTTTCAACTATACTTCTCACTCTGAAGTTCTTGTCAAAGAAGGCCTTCCAAAATATTAGAAAATTCCCATTTTTCTTGGGTTTTCTTATGTATAGCTTAAGAATAAAGATATAATGTTAAATAGCTGTGAGTTGAAACGAGCTTTGCAATAATTTATAAAAAAAGTGTATTGTTTATTTAAAGACTATAACTCACCCCTTAGGATTGAGCAATTTATGTATTTGGATGTCTTTAGGGAGAAGTTTATTAATCACTTTTGCCTACAGGTTTATTGAGGTATTAAAATAGAAGCAACAGAGCACAGCTTTTGGAGAGAACCTAAAATTGTATATACTGCATAGCAGTTTTTAGTAGTGCGATTTCCCCATGCCTTTTAATGAGAAAATGTTTATAATAGATACATCTTGTGGATTTCCATAAATTTTAGTATTGTGTTGCAAAATCTGACCTACTTAAATGGATTTTTTTTTTTAAATTGAAAAGTGACTTGGAAGAATATAAAGATCTGTATAAAGTAGTAAGTTCTCATGAGATATTATTCTCCAAAATGATATTACTTCTGATACATTCCTGAATGGGATTGATATAGCCAAAGGAACTGGCTAACCTTTGAGTTCTTTAGGAGTTAAAATATTGCCAAAATGTGGTTTAAAGAAAATTTGTACTATTTTAAACATTTTTCTGTATTTTTTTTAATAACAGCAAAACCAAAAAAGTACCCCTGATATGGAAAGACAGAGAGCAGTGTACCATCTCGCCACTAGGCTTGTTCAAACTGCTCGGAACTCTCAGCTGGATCCAGAAGGCTTACGAATGTATTTATGTAATCTCAAGAAGAAGTATCAAGCTGATATTCCCAAACCTGAACAAGTTGAAGAAAACACTGATGAACAATAACAATATCTTGTACTAATGAATTAAGTTATCCTAATATAAGAAATTTAGAATTCAATTTCCCTGTGAAATCAAAAGAAAATGTCTTTTCTAATTTTAAATTTTATTTGAAAATTATATTGTGTTAATCTCAAATGGTCATCTATATATTCTGCATAAGAAAATATTTATAATAATAAATAAGAACTGTATGAAAGAATTATTTTATGTCAGTATAATGTACTATTCTGTATTTATCAATGTTTATATTACTAGCTTTTACGTTATCTATACTTACAAATGATAGTTTGTAGGTATGTAAATGTCTTAGCTTAAAAAATGGACTTTTTAGGTTAGAGCAACTTTTCCTAACTTTTTAACATTTTATTAAAAATTAGTAATGCTTTATGATTTGATGATACCTTAATTTTTGAAACTCATTGCCTTCGGGTTGGAATCAATTCAGCTGACCCGCCATTGGCCTCTTTAGGCTGTAAATCACATGAGAGGAGCCTGCCCATCTTTCTACTGTAGAACCGCTGGTGTCTGTTGTTCATTGGGTCACTATGAGTCTTACCTAACTCAATAGCACCTACTAACAACAGTGACATATATTGAAGACAATTTAAATGCTATGAGTACTTTTTAATAATTTAACTTAATGTTTACATTTATATATATTAAATGTCCTAGTTCTTGGGGCCTAGCCTAATGAGTAAGGAGTTTACTGTCAACCCAAAGGCCGGTGGCTCAAATACACCAGCTGCTCCATGGGAGAAAGATGAGCAATTTCCTTTTATGTGATTACAGCCTCTGAAAACCTACTAGAAGATCAGCTTTGCACTTCTGTGTTGTACCCAGTGTTCTGGGTTTGCAGGTCACAGAAGTGTGGCAGCACCCACTTAGAGCTGAACTTGATATTTATTGTAAAGCTACAGTTACTAAAAATAGCACAGAGAAACTCATATGCTGAAGTGCACATACATATCTTTTGAGGTACAGAGAAATAGAAAATATTTTGGCTGGGGCAAGTTATTTCCAACTATTTGAGACTCTGTGTTCCCTCACTATATTTTGACTCACGAATGTAATGGTTAAGTAAGTGCGATAAAAGACTGTTGACTTGAAGTGTTCCAGGGGATGTTCTTGGAAATATTCCATAGCCTTCAGAACTTTTCTCAGAGTGCTTAACCCTTTAGGGATAAACAGCTTGAATATCAGTGCTGATGCAGAGCAATTCCTGGAACAAAGTTAGAGCTGTGTGCAGCCCTTACAGTCCTAAGATCCCTTGCTTGCAAGTGCCTCAGGATTCTTGGAATGTTTCCTTGTACATCAGACTCCTCAATATTGCTATTATCCCTACAGAGATCTTTCAGTTCTGATTTGAGGACACCTATTGTTGTTGTTATGTATAGTGGAGTTGCCTCCAACTCAATCCCTGTGTACAACAGCTCTGAAGCCTGCCCTGTTCTGAGCCAGTCTCATTGAATTCAACACATCTACCCTCATTGCCCCAGTTACTGTATCAATCCATCTCATCTAGGATCTTCCTCTATTGCACTGTCCCTTCACCCTTCCAAGCTTGATTTCCTTTTCCAAGGACTGATCCCTCTTGGCCATATGCCCAGAGTATGTGAGATGGAGCTTCAAAATCCAATCTCCAAGGATGAACTTGGTTTCACCCTCTTCAAGACAGATTATTTGTTTTCTTGGCAGTCTGTGGTATGTACAAGGCTCCTCCCCAGCACCACAACTCAAAGGCATCGATTCTTAATCTGTTATCCTTAGTCATTGATAATCTCTCTAATGCATAGCAAGTAATTGCAAAGATCCTGGCCTGCATCAGGAGCACCTTATTCTCTAGGATGACATTGTTGCTTCTTAGCACTCTGGAGAGGTCTCTGACAGCAGATTTTCCTAATGCAATTAGTCTTTTGATTTCCTGACTGCTGTTGCCAAAAGTGTTGATTGTGGAGCTGGCCATGTTATGAGGACACATAACAACACTAAACTACTTATCTTTTCTATTGTTTATAAAGGTGTTATCACGTTATTAAGTGTGTGCCACTAGAATATTACTCATATTGACCCTGTGAACAACCTTGCATTATCTTGCACCATTTTCATTTTCTCCTCAATGCTTGAGCCCACTGTTGTAATTACTATGTCAATCCATATTGTGGACAGTCTTCCTTTGTTATGTTAACCCTCTGCTTTTCTAAGTATGATGTCTTTTTCTGAGAACTAGCAACTCTTGACAATATGCCCTAAGTATGTGTGATGAAGTTTTACCACCTTGCGTCTAAGGAGTATTCTGGTTACTCTTCCTACAAGACAGATTGTTTGTTCTTCAGGCAGTACATGGCATATTCAATACTCTTAACAAATACCACAATTCAAAAGTATTGATTCCTCTTTGGTCTTCCTTATTCATTGTTCAACTTTCAAATAGATAAGAAGAAGCAATTGAAAATACCATGACTTGGATCAATTGCAAGGTAGTCTTCAAACTAACATCCTTGTTCTTTAACAGAGAGAGGTAATTTTCTTAGTGCAACAAATCTTTTTATTTCTTGACTGCTAGTACCAAGAGTGTTGGCTGTGGATTGAAGTAAAGTGAAGTTTTTAACAACGTTAATCTTTTCTCCAACTCTTGGGTTGCGTTGCTGCTTTTTGTACAATGGTGAAGATTTTAATTTTCTTAATATTAAGATGGAATCCATATGCAAGGCTGTAGTCTTTTATGATCTTTAGTAAATTCTTCACATTTTCTTCACTTCTGCAAGCAAGGCTGTGTCTTCTGAATGCAGATTACTGATTATCCTTCCTCTAATACTGATGCCTCATTCTTCTTCATACAGTTTGTTATTGTTGTTGTTATGTGCCGTTGAGGCATCTGCGACTCATAGCAACTCTATGTACAACAGCCCTAAACCCTGCCCTACTCTGTGCCAATCTTACTGTCTCTGACACATGTATCCCCCATTACCCCAATCACTGAATCTATCCATCTCATTGAGAGTCTTCCTCTCTTTCACTGTCCCTCCACCCTCCCAAGCATGACATCCCTCTGCAAGGCCCTCCTTGCAACATGTCCAAAGTAAGTCAGACAAAGTTTCAGAATCCTTGCCTCCAAGGAGCAGCCTGATCTCACTCTCACTAGGACAAACCTGTTTGTTCTTTTAGCAGTCCATGGTATAGTCGATACTCTTCTCCACCATCACAGCTCAAAGGCCTCAAATGTCCTTCTATCATCCCTAGTCATTGTCCAGCTTTTTTTTTTTACTTTTCCCCCCCATTGTCCAGCTTTCTAATGCATAGCAAGTAATTGCAAAAACTATGGCTTGAATCAGGTGTACCTTAGTCTTCAGACTGACATCACTGCTTTTCAGTACTTTGGAGAGGTCCCCGACAGCAGGCTTTCCCAATGCAATTCATCTTTTGATTTCCTGTCTGCTGGTACCAAGAGTGTTGATTGTGGAGCTAAGCAAATAAAGCTTCTAACAATCTCAATCTCTTCACTAGTTTAGCTTCTTGAATGATTTGCTCTGCATACAGATTGAATGGGAATGGAGAAAGGGTACAACAGACCTGATGCACACCTTTTCTGATTTTAAATTATGCCATGTTCCTTTGTTCTGTTCAGAAAGCTACTTCTCATTCTATATATAGATTTCTCCTGAACACAATTAAGTATTCTGGTATTCCCATTCTTCTCAATATTATCCATAATTTGCTATCTACATAATCAAATGCCTTTGCATAGTCAATAATATAATCATTAGCCTTGTTTTCATTCACAGTCTTTTAAATATTTTATGTGTTAATTCCCAAAAGTAATTTCCCTTTTTTTTTTCAAACAGCATACAGTTGTAAATGATGTGCACACACATATAATGGGCAGTAATGTCAGAATTCTATTAAAAAACTTCTGGTATAGTGCATGTGTGCATACAGTAATGTCTCATGACATTTCTAGAAGTGAAGTTCAGCCTTCTTTACCCACATTAAATCTGGAAATAACACTTCTGATCACCTTGTTATTTGTTGTTGTTGTTGGGTGCCACTAAGTAGTCTAGCATTCATAGCAGCCCTGGGAACAACACATCAGAACCTTGCCTGTCCTGCATCCCTCACAATCTGCAATGTTCAGACCCACTGTTTTAGTCATAATAAAGTTGTCAACCATGGTCAAGATGTCGTAGGTAGATTTTGGTTGGATCCCAGTTTTGGGAAAGTAACCAAGTGACATAGTGTGTTTGCTCTGGAGCACTTTGTGGCTGGTCCAAAGATTGGTGGCTTGTCTGTGCTCAGGTATATTTTACCAAAGATGGGTGGGAAGTCAGGTACTCTATGATATATCTGTGTGTCTGCCTACACTCCACAATCCTTGTGATGCTGGGGTGTAGAACAGTGGATGTGTAATCCACTGGACCTAACTCATAAGTGAGGGACACAACCCTTCTGTGCCTGAAGTTCCAACATCCACCTCATATGGTCTTTGTGAAGAAGAAGAGAGTCAAACAACCAAAACATGGTAACCGGTTAGACAGATGACAGGGCAGAAGGTATGTGGCTGTGTTGTGCCAGCCTCACTTTCCTCAGTGGTATTTTTATTTATCTTAGTATTTTTAGGAAAATGAGTGAAAAAGTTTATTAAAACAATAAAATAAAGGCATGAAATGTAGGTCATGAAAAAGACTTAAAGTGAAAAAGAAAGCAAAGGAAAAGCAGGAAAGGAACCCTTGAAAGACAGGTGTGAAGCCAAACCTTAAGGCATTCTGTCAGCAGGTGTGCAGATCTGTGCATCTCCTGAGCTATGTTCAGTTGTCCTGGTGATGGCTGTTTCCAGAATGGAAAAGTAATTATTTTCTCAGGGAAAAATGGTTTGAAGAGTGAGGAAGGAATCTTGCCAGGAAAGCAGCTGATTTAGGAACTAGAGGATGACTGGTGAGGGTCTGCTACTGGGAATCAAATCTTCTTTTCAATAGACACCAGATAAAGGCTTAAGATGAAATTCTTTG